TTTCCTACTGCACGGTTTATTAGGTCACTCTCGAAGCTTTGGCGGGTTTTTATTACAAGGCCCTTTACTCTATTTCTTTGCGCTTTGTACTTGTTTTGCGGCCCGGTTATCTTCTCTCTCAGATATGTTTGCCACAGCTTTCGTTTACGATTTACCTCCCTCTTCAGCGTGTTCGTTAGCCACTGGGGCCTATTTGTGGCTTTTATTTTCGAGATGGGGCAGAAATGGGTGATACGTCCGTGTAATACGGCCTAAAATACCGACCAATCCCCTTGGACACACCCGATAAATGCCTCCTCCCAGTCTAACTTGCGCACTTCGGTTCTCATTTGAGTACAGTTTCCGCACCATATGTTGTGTCTGACGGTCACGCTACGATGAAGTACAGAGAAGAGTGAATACTCCCACTGCAGTACAACGCGGTCGTACAGTGGGAGTATTCACTCTTCTCTGTACCTGATCGTATTGCGACCGAAGAGCATTCACTATAGTAGTTACACATGCAATTATACTACATGTTGATGGAAACGACGCGAAAGTTAAATCAGCCTATGGGAGAAACGTATGGGAGGTAGCATTAATCCATGGCACTAATAATTTTCTTAGGGGGAACAAAACAAGAAGTAAATGGACCCAGACTTTTGTACAGTATATAAGTATTCGTTAAATAAACTCTGCACATTTGTGTGCATCACCGTAGTCTTGCTGCCTTTTTATCGAACTCCAGGATTGATTGCTACTTCTTGAACCTGACAATTTTTCCAGGATGTTTCGAAAGGTACATTTTGGCCACTTTCGAGCATTTTTGGAGGGGGTTCTAGCGCACGAAAAATCTTACCAACGACGGTAGGTTATGGAACGCACTTCACGGTCGATACGCGACGGGGTGGAATGGTCACGGCACCGAATACGGAGGGCGAGGTTCAGAGAAGAAAAACTCCGTGTGTTGGCAGAGTGATGATGAAGTGTTTGTTTCCAGAAAATAGTAAACTCTTTTAAATATCCGCCGACCTATAAAAATTGGCTACATGGATGTCCAGGCTGATGCCTATGGCAGATCAAAGGCAGGAGTTGTTAAATACATGTCGAGCCGGCTTTGCGGTTTTGATTGAAAAATTTTAAACCTTTGACCCGCGCCTGGGCAGAATAAAGGAAAAATATCGAAGGTTTGGTTATATGATTCACTATAATTCAGACAGCAGGATTATTTTCAAATATGCCCTTCTAAGTGAAAAAAATCTTAGAGCTGTGTGACAAATGTTTTAACGGTGACATCTGACGTGTGTCACCGACGAATTGGGCCCACTGGAATCCCCAAGGAAGAGTTTATTGTGTACAAAAACCCCGAGTTGCTGTCTCGGGTGGTATATATCGCCCGTTGATCACCAGCGCGCTCTTTGTACCACCTAGGGTCTGACCCCAGCCATCGGGACCGGCCTGACGGTGGCCTCGCAGTCCGCGTGTGCAACTCCCCTTTCTAAGAGGTGAAAGTGGCTTACAAGACACTTTCATGCGCGTTCGCCCGTAGCCTGATTGGACGCATTGGGATAACTGCGACCAGTGGGCACGCGTGCATCTGTGTCCTATACAGAGGTTAAAGTCATCGTGCGTTGCGGTTCTACTTTGGAGGCTAGGTCAGAACGAGCACGAATGGGGCATAAAGTTCATTTTGCCGAAGACGCAGATATTCATTTAAGGAAACAGTTTGGAATTTGAAATGCTTTTATAGTTTCTTGAAATATTTACCCGATAAGCGCATAAAAGACATCCTCATCACGACTTTTTTGACCTTATTGGCTGGCTGATTGATGGGCACAGTCTAAAAAAGCAACGTTCAACATATTCCATTTACTTATGGAGGGAAATAGGCACGAGCAACGAGTACGCTCCTTGCAATGTAACGCGGAGTAAAGTGCGTTTCTTCAGATTTCTACCAAGCATTGCTAAGTATTCTGCATCAGATCAAATTCGAGCAGATGTAACAATAAATATAT